CGCGGACCCTCCCACACAATGCTGCAGGCCCATTTCTATTCGCAGCACGGCAGGCGGGCGGGCATGCAGCGTGACCTGCAGCCCCAGCCCCTAACACTGCCCTCAACACGACCTCACTATGTCTACCAATCCCCAGGGCCAGGGTCTCGATCCACCCTCCTCAGGGCGTCACCACCACTTCTGTCCCTGCCATCCAGGCAGCCAGCATTTGAGGTGTCTCGCAGAGTTAAGGTGCTCTTCATGGGGTCTATGTCTGTCAGCCAGGAAGGTTGCTGTAGTCCTGGTAAGGAAGGGCCCTGCCTCAGTTTCTCCCCTAGATCTATTGAGGGCAGGGCACAAAGTGAGCCCACTTGTCAACATCTGACTCAGTCAATCAGGCCAGGGCAGCACGAGGCTCATTTCTGCACCTTAAGATCAACTAGGCTTTTCTGGATGTTACAAGCCAGCCTGCCTGGGTTCAAATCCTGGCTGTGCTGCTCAGTGGCAGATGACCCTGTACACATTGGTCAGCATTTCTTAATACTTTCTTTTGCTTAAAACCAAACCTTGTACTGTTAAAACTATACACTAAAAGACAAGAGACAGAATAATCACTCAGGGAACAGCACAGAGACACACCCCGGTCCAGAAGCAGAGGCCCTCCACGAGCGTCAGCCAAACCTCCGCACGCAGAGGAAACCATGATTCCAGCTGAAACAACCTTTGCCCCTCACCTCTCCCCTTAGCAGCTTTAGCTCCTGTGCAGGCTCCCCCATTTCTGAGCTCACCACGAGTAACCCCAGTGTCCTTCAGCTCGCTCTGAGGTCGTCCACGTGGACAGCGGTCCCTGTGGGATGCTGTCTGCCCCCTCTTCTGGGGCAGGCGACCCGGGTGCCCGAGGTCTGCCACGGGCAGTGCTGGGGGTACAGCGTGGGTCACACCCCGACCAGGGGCTCTTCTGAGCATGGCACAGCTGGACATGCTCGCTCACTGTGAGACACGGCACACACGCCCGGCTCCGCCACACACACACCAGAGGCACTGGAAGACAGCTCCACACTGCCACCCTCCAAACATGGGCGACAGTAGTCTCCACACACGATGAGAACCAAGGGCTGGGAAGGGGACCCAGCCCAGGCAGCACGCAGATAACACTGGCCCCTGTCACCGTCCCTGAGCACCACTGTTTTCATAGCAAGGCTCCTAGCTGAGGAGCTGCTTAATGTTGGGGGTGCGTGCTTTTCCATTTACACAAGTTTCTGGGCTGGGGAAACCATCACCGCGACTGTGGAAACTGTCGGGGCGCTGTGTTCTCTCTGTAATTCAAAGTCCCTTTTCCTTTCTTCCTCTATTTGACCACTGGAGAAGGACAGGGCTTCATTCGTTCGGCTCACAGGTCTCTATGCTATCTGTGCCGGACAACACGGTGGGCTGAAGGTACAGAGACACGTGTGACTCGACTTCTTGCCTGCCACATAAATTCCATAAGCACAGCAGAACCCCAGGCTGCCTCCAGCTGACGACACCAACCTCTGTTTCTCTATGGACCTGGCAAAGCAGCATGCGAGGTCCTTGTGGGCAGGAACCCTGTCTTCCTACGCATCAGAGTTTGCCCCGCCTGCTTAATCCTCAGAGCTTCTTGGACCCTGAGCTCCCTGCCTATGAAGAAACCATTCCAAAACTTTCTCTCAAAACCATAACTTTTATCATAAAAAGACATGACTTCAACTCCTTTCAATCCCATGGACTCATTTTCACAGGCACATGGACTAGGTGTGCACCTTTGTCGCTGTGCCAAGATAATTAATCAAATGAAAAGGAAGGGGCTGATGAGATCCTAAACACCTGGCAGAACCAGCAGGGCTCTGCAGCGGGTTCAGGGGTTGAAAGCTGAGTCCTCTGTTCACCCAGGAGAGGCTCAGACCAGGGGCCTCTCCCCACCGTCAACAGGGCATGTGGACAAACACAAGCTTACCGAGTTGGCTACAGAGACCACAGAGGGGCTAAGGATGGAGCCAAGGGGCAGAATCAGAGGAACGAGAACACGTGCAGGGAGGGCAGGCAGACATGGGTCTGCCACCGAGGGGGAGGGTGAAGGGCTGGGGAGCTTGAAGGGTAAAGGAGGAGCAGCCACCCAGGGCCAGGAGGGAGCCGGAGGGCGGGTGGGCCATGAAGGAGTGTGTCTAAGGAGGGGAGGTGAGCGACAAGGGCAGCGCAAGGACAAGAAGCAGGAGGTCACAGGAGGAAATGGAGGAGCGTGTAGGACTCCTGTAGGCACTAGGGGAGTTTACTGATAGAAGTCATAAGTGCAAGCTAGAAAAATCAAACAAATTTATTGCTGCAGTGCTCACAGAAGATGAGAGACAGGTGCCAGCAGCAGACACACAACTCCCAGGAGAGGGCCGGTGCCACAGGACCCAGAAGCGTGGCCAAACAGGTGATCACGAAATCTGAGCCAAGCCTCCAGGGCAAGGAAGAGGGCATCACCACCAGGTACCAGGCGACCCAAGAGGCCATGTGGGCCGGCGTCCCAACCTGACATGGCTCGCGAGTGAGCCCTCTGCTCCCCCAACAGCAGCCAGACGTCTGGAGGTCAGTGCAGTGTGCAGCTCGGCACACCATCCAGGGTGCTTTCCAGCTTTTGCCGAAACAGTCGGACACCATGTCCTCTGCACACATGCGCGCCCACACCCTGCCCGGCCCGGCCCAGCTCTCAGGCTGCAGCAGCACAGCAGAAGCAGGCCATCCTGGGTGGCAGGGCTGTGTTTCTCTTCCTCCACAAACACAATCAGCCTCACCTTCCTGTGCTAAAACCCAATTCCATCCACACTCTGGAATTAGCACAATCTCTGGGTTTAATGAGTCCTAGCTCCTGTTAAAACCAAGCCCACTGCTCAGGACTGCATGTCTACGACCTCTGATGCAGGACTGAAGCCCTCTGGCCGCCGTCACCTGCACTGATTTAGTCCATGTGAGCACAGACGGGCTCCTTTCTCTGTGGCTGAGCCAAGTTCCCGCCAGTGGTGTCTGCAGGCTGAGCAAGGCAGTCACTGCCCGGCCAGCGGGGACAGACCTGGGCCACCCTCCCCAGTGGGAAAGAGGTGGGGGCCCTAACCCTATTTCTTGGCTCCCAAGGGACTAGAGATCAGGATTGTGCTGCATGCTCATCCCCAGCCGTGCCCCAGGCCAGGCTACACCTTCTCTGCCCTGAGGGTGCTGCAGTTTATGGATCTTGTCTAAGGCCCTGATCATGGTTTATTTTATGATTTAAGATGTTTGGCAGCTGGTAACAACATGGTGGGGCTTTATTTTCCTCACCAATAACTGATCCGGTAAGGCAGCTAACCAGTTACGCATTGGCCAAATGAAGCAGGTCCCAGTTAACTAGTGACCATCGGGCCAGGCCATGCAAACTGGAGGCCTGGTCTCCACCCCAGGGGCTGGGGCCGGCACACAGTCTCTGCGGAAATGCCACAGAAGGGACATCTTCACTGCCAACCTCACAGCTCTTCAATGGGGAGCCACTCTTCAACCAAAATAGCCGTGAGGTCAAATGCAAGGCTCTTTTCCCTTCCTTAGGCCACAGAGGGGTGGGGCTGAGGGTCAGTCTGGAAGAGATGCTGACCAGACTCTCAGGTGGCATCTCAGGACTGTTTCAGCTTGAGAATCCTTTCTGTTGTAATGCATAATTTCAGAGCTCCAGTTAGATGTTAAAGCAAAAGACTAATTTTTGTTCTGGGGGCAAGCACTGTATTAGAAATAAGGACTTCAAATAAAAAATATTTTACTACTTATAAAGATAAATTTAAACTTTTTTCAGTATTAGTAAGTACCATATACTCAATTAACATAGTAGAAGTGGTAATAAAAACTAGAATTTATTGGCAAAATTTTTAAATTATGGGTTGAGATCAAATATATATTAAAATACAGATTCAAATTTACTTTTGTTGTATGTATGAATACACAAAAAGAAAAAAATGTGATCTTTATAACCCGATGTTTAGAATTCTTGGATTTTGTTTTAAAACATCACTTTGTTTACTTTTACAATGTTCAGGTTTGTTCTGAAATGAAGAGGTAAGACAAGAAGTTCACATTTTTATTTATGAGCTTCTCTACAAGAAACACACTGTGGGTGTGAATCATTTTTAGTCTAAATAAATAAAAAGGCAAAATGGATCTAAATTATCACAATATTTTCACTTTTTTAAGTGTCTTTTTGAAGTACAGACACACCCTGATGTGCTCTGGGAAAATTCCAATTCCACGGACACAGCACACGAGTGGGAGGCGAGCTCCATAACATGAGGGGCAGGCAGGAGATGGAAACAAAGCAGCCACCAAACAAGCTTTCTCCTTTTTTCCACAGCCTCATTCTTTTATTTGCTATTTACCCTTGTGCCACCTCGGGATGGGGACATCCTCACAGGCCGGCCAGCCGGGTAGTGCCCGGAACGCCGTCCCCGACCTGACCTCCAGCACCCGTGCTGTCTCCATGGGGCAGGTAGTGAGGCGCCTGCCCTCCTCAGACCTGTGTAAACCCGGGAGGCCGCCGAAGGGCGAAAGCGCACCGAGGGTAGTGTTTACGCTTCTCCTGGTTTCCCTCTTGAACTTCCACCTTACTGGCCCTGTCCCTAACGAAAGGTCTTTCAGAGAGGTACAGCATACGGGCTGGTGACAAAGGCAAGAGAGTGTGTGACACATGCCAAGTCAGCTGCTCGGCATCCACCAGACCCCACATAAACCACTGTCACCAGGACTGAGGACTCTGAGGCGAGGCCTTGGGGGTGTGGATTCCAGGGAGAGCGCAGAGGCAGTGGGTGCTGGCTTTCATCTGCCGTGAAGAGACACCCAGACACCATAACGATGGCCCTGCCGGGTGAGAGCAGGGCCTCTCCTGCACCCAGCTGTCGGGACGAGCTATTAGCAGGCAGAGACAACAGTTTCACTTAAGTCGGACTGCACTTACCAGGACATCTCTGACTAGCATGGCGCTTCTCGTGAGAAGAGGCCCTTACCTCGTTTGCTGTGTTGTGTGTTCCAACAATTCGGATGAAGGAGGCAGGCTGTCTCTCAAAAGTCACCGACTGCCAGGACCTGGGAGAGGAAATGCAGATTAGGTGGTGCCATCATCCAGTGAGGTGTGGCTCACGGAGTTGTGTGTTGTGTCCACCCAGGAGGGACCACGCCAGAGACCTGTGCGTGCAGCCAGGCCACCACCTCATGTGGGGCAGAAGGGGCACAGGAAATAGGGTCCCATCCAGAGCCCGAATCTCCTCAAAGAAGGCCCTATGTCAGTGAATGTGACTCAGGATTCTCACGAGGCTGTTTAAAACTGAGCACAAGTGTAGAAAACCTGTGCATCGTGGCAAGTGTGAGGCCAAGGTGGGAACAATGCATAAAACATATTTTCTCTTCCCTCAAACAGACCAGGGATGGGGCGGAGGGGAGAGACTGCTGGTGGGGGCAACCGCTCTGGGCAAAGGAATTTTGGAGTAGGGAGGGGCTGGCACTGGGCAGGGTGGGGCCGGGCCAGCACTGGGAGCAGGCAGCTTCTCCCCAGGCCCCCAAACTCAGCACTGGCCCATCCCTGGGTGGTCTCAGAAGCGCCTCTCTGTCCTGAAGGCCATTCCTTGTGATGAGCCCGGGCAGGACCAGCTCACTTCGAAGGCGGCGGCTGCCCCTGCTGAGGAGCGCGCACACCCACGACTGCAAACTCCAGTAATATTTTCTGTAATAAATGTGAGGGGTTCACAGTTGTTACCATCCCTCCTCCGCTCACACAGTGGAAATGCCAGCTGCTGCGAAGCTGTTTCCTGTAATTGTCTAATTACCAAGTAATGCTAGCAAAGAAAATATATGTATTTGCAGTTTGTTTTCTCCCTCTGGTTTCAGGTGTTCCATCTTCTCTCTCCCCATGAACCTCCCACTGAGATTGATTCACTGCTGCCTGGACACCAGGCCTCTTAAGGTCATTAAAAAGTCGTTACCAGCCTGTGTGCAAAGGCTGTGCCTCAGAAAGCAGTTTTCTGAAAGCAGAATCAGAAAAAAAATCAGCCTTTGTAAAAATGCCATCATTCATACATGAAGGTGATGCCCCCAGCCGTCCTGAGCTCGCACTTGTGCCGCTTCTCAGTAGGGGGTCTTCACCCTGACACCCAGCTCTCCCTGGCGGCCCGCAGATGGGACGCAGCCTGTGGCCCAGGGCGGCTGGCCAGGACTGGTGTCACTTCCCCTAACCGTCCTTCCCTCAACAGACCACAAGGGAAGCCTCGGGGGCATCAGAATCCTAAGGAAGCCACAGCATGCACTGAAGCTTGGTCCGCTGCCTACTTTGTAACCCAGCCCTCCAGGAAAGGGAAAGACAACAAAGTCCTAACAGCCAGGGACAGCTCCCGGGTTCAAGTCACAGCTGCACAGAAAGGCTTGGGGTGGACGGAGGCCGGAGTAGAAAATGAAGTTCCTGCTCCTAACTTCCTGGCCCTGTGCCTGTCAGACCTCTGGTGATTCTGGACTGAAGGTCAGGCTCCCCACAAGGAAGCCAGGGGCCGGGGTCACGCCACAGGCCGCCCCATTCCTTCCAAGGCAGTACTGGAGGGAGGCTGGGCCAACCGGCCTCTGCCACTCGCTCCCTTGCTGCCCGCCTCTCCACTCTCCCCTGGACCAGGTTCCTCCACAGCCGAAGGGCTCTGGGCAGGGTAGCAGCCTGAGCGGGAGGGAACATCGGTGAAGTAATAAGATCAGAAGGTCTCAATTTAATACCAATCCTCCATTATACTGCGTTAATATCTAATCACATTAGAGTTCATTTGCACTAACACAGCCTGAGAGTTGAATATATGATCTCATTTTCAGTAGAACTAGATACTAATCCTAACAGCCAAGTATCAGTAGGAACGGAAGCTGGCTAAGATGAGGTACCGAGCATCTCTCTCCCAACACCCAGATTCCATTTCCCCCAACTTCTTCAAAATGACATTCCTTCCCTTTGCCTTTCTCTCCCCATCTCCCTCACTTCCTCCCTTTCTTGGAGTTGGATTTTCCCCATGTTACCCAAGTTGGTCTCAAAAGGCTGGGTCAAGAATCCCCATCTCAGCCTCCTGAGTGGTGGGACTATAGGTGCACACCCGTGGCCAGCAAAGTGACTGTGAACGCTGCCCAATGCGGCAGCAACTCTAGACCGAGCCACATCGCTAATCCTATGTGACCTCAAAGCTCAAGGTCTCCACCGAGATTTCACAGGCCAGAAAACCAGCGCCACTCAGCCTGTGGGGAAGCCCACGGCCACTCCTAGGGCACTTTATTGACAGCTGCATCAAGAGGCCAAGTGCCAAGCACTCACCCCTCTTGTTGGGCAGCAAAACCGCCAGGAAGGGCAGTGGGCCGCGGGGGTGTGGCAGCCCACCCAGCTCACAGCCTGGAGGAAAAGGATCTGGACAGGAGCAACAGGGCTCACAAACTCATGTGGTCTTATCCTTGAGAGTCTCCTGTAAACCAAGCAGCTCCAACCTGGACTGAGGTCCAATCCGGTACTCTGCCTCTGCGGTGGACAAACCCGACCCTTCCCTCTGGGGCTGATGCTCTGGCCCCAGCCATGCCCCACTGTCAACCTGTGTGCTCAGAGGGAGGCGTCTCGGGAGAGGCTGCCACATGGTGATGTAGATTTGGCTTTGGACAGGAGAATTTTGAGGATCATTTACTCTCTTTTGTACACTTCCAAATGTCTGAATTTGGTAGCGTGCACAACATACACGTTAAAAACACGCACCCATCCCACCTCTTGCCAGAGGCGTCAACTGAGATCGGGAGACGTGAAGCTGGTGAAAGCTCAGCACTGTCCTGTGTCTCGCGGAGAGGACAGCGGGGCAACACTCTTGGGTGTGCTGGGGACAGAATGACACAGCATGCCAGCCTGGGCCCTGGAGCCAAGCCGTCTGGGTTTGAATCTCAGTTTTAACACTTTTGTGACCTAGGCAAGTTACTCAACCTCTCTGGGCCTTAGTCTTCTCATCCATAAAACGGAATGATAGAAACAATCGCCTGAGATGTTTTTGTAAAGTCTGAGCACCTTGACAAACGTGAAACAGTGTTGCATATACTAAATGCTATAAAAAGTATGATGAACCTGGATGGAAGTCTGTGAATCATCAGGCTCGACAGTGTAGGACTGACAGGCCACTCAAGATGACTCCCAATCAGCACCCTTTCTTTGCAGCGGGCAGGCAGACAGGAAGTTAGGCACTGAGGGATTAAGCAAACATGCTGAATACATTCTTGAGTTTGGCAGCTGCTGGTTATTATGGGGGATCCATGCAAGATACAGTGCTTACTCTTAAGAGGTTTATGATCTCACCAGGGAGAACAACTATCCTTCTAACTTGTCAGCAAACCACGCACAAAGTACAGGACAAGTGGTCCCAACTCACAGACTGGCGGCGTTCCAGAACGTCCCTCGTTACTGGCTGTGATAATGGGTAGAAATAATTTTTTCCCAAGAACTAAAGCTATAAATTTTGATGGGGTTCCCTGGCCCACTCACAAAATTCAATTTAATTCATAATGAGGTTGAAACATAAAGTTTAAAAAGGGGGAAAAAATGATGTGTTGCCGTAGTAGTGATTAAACAAATCAGAAAAACAAGGGATTTAAAACAATCTTTCTAAAGCTGCTGCATGAGGAATGTGGATTAAATACTGGGGTGCTTATAAAATCGGGGGATGGCGTGGAGCAGCGTCGGTGGCCTGCTAACACAGAGTGAGAAAGTGGCCACGTCTGCCTGCTGAGGGCCTCTCTGTCTTAGGCCCTTGAATGGTGTTCAAAGGGCTTCCCAGTCACAACCTGCCTCGCTCGCTTCCTGACGAGAGCTGCTGGGTAGATGCACAGCCAACCTGAGTCCCGTTTCAGAGGTGAGGACACTGAGGCAGAAGAAGCCAGTAAAATGTATAGCATCCTAGGGCTGCCCAGTGTGAAGTCAACAACAGATACCGGATTTAATACCACCAGCTCCTGCTCTTTCCACCAAAGTGACCAAAGGGGCACTGACCTCCCACCGTCCCCTGGGTCGTACTTTCCTGGGCCCCAGAGTATTACTGGCACTTTCTTTATATGTCCGAGTCATGAGTAGAAACCACAGTGGCCACAGGACGGGATCAAGCTGACCCGAGCAAGTGACCGTCCTGTAAAATCTCACTTCCTGTGTGGATCGGGAGGTCACAGTGCAGCACTATCACTACGGGCTGAAGGGTTCACCGAGAACACAGGAGTGTGGCTGTGGTAAAGGCTATTACTGTATCTGTGTGCTTCCTCTTTTGTCCATTCTTTCAGGCCTTCAGGCAGTGCCGTGTAAGCCTTGCGCAAGCCAGATGAGGGATCCACCGACACCGAGCTGAGCCGCACCCCAGAGCCAAGGAGTGTGGCCTCTTCCCACCTGTGTCGACCTGGACAGGGAGGCGGCAGGCACCCTCCGGAGAGCGCATTCCAGGGACTGACCCACACAAGCCTGCCGCGCGGCATGCTCACAATGCGGGACAGCACACAGGAGGCCGTGAGACGCACGCTCTCATTACATATTTTTAAATGTTCTTGAAGTATATGTGCTAAGTTCTTGACAGTGGCTGTCTCAGAGGAGAGGGCAAGGAAAAGGATTGCAGATGGGAACAAAGGAAACTTCAACATTAACTGGCATGTTGCATTTCTTTGATTAGAATAAAAGACTTGAAGTGTATGTGAAAAATATTAACCATGGTTAATTCTGGGGGATGAGACTACGAGTGAAAATTATATTACTGTTTGTTCTTTATATATTTTAAACAGTTCCTGAGATACATAAGAAAGAGAAAAGAGAAGAAAGGCATCAAAGCAGTGTCTGTGTTTATGTAAGAAAGAACTTGCCGGAGGTGGAATGAACTGAACTGCGAATTTAAAATTCGGGAGCAGCAGAGCCAGTCCTATGGCAGGGCTGCGGATCTGCCAGGTGGCACCGCTGGCTTGGACAGCTGCATCTTTGTCTGGAGGAAGCAGAGTTGGGAGAGCCACGGGTGGGAGGACAAGCCCTTGCCATCTGGTGGGCGGGACTCACGGGAGGGGCCCTGGCTGAC